CAACTCTGACTAAATTCAGGCATTTTTCAGTAAATATTCTATTACATAATTTCAAGGTCCATTTCTCTTAATTTTGACGTTGTTTCAGAGGACCGCATTCATAATTTACATCTATATGTTTAAATAGACACCAGTAGGTTACCAATATCAGACATCTGCAAAATGCGTTTTGTTTGGGAACTCACTTTACACGTGAGATTCGATCGAAGAATGAATGAATGTCAACAAATATACATGCATATATACAACAGCATATTCGGCTTACAAAACAATGACTGCACCCTCTGTAATCTCATCAGGCCAACAACGAATGTATGTATGCACAAGCATTCTCCAAAGTCTTTGAAGCGCAGAGAGCATTCAATCAAGCGGGAACAGATCAAGCTCTTCACAGCGATAGCCCGTTCGCGGAGCTCATAACAAGGGAGGTAACTTTACTGACAGTTCAAGTTATCTCTATTCTTTCATCCTTCGAGAAAGGACCAGTTCGACCCGAAGATTTGCTGTGACTTTTTGATCTCGAGGGACCTGGAAGGGAAAGCTTAAGAACGCGAGAGCACATTGTAAAGGACGTTGTCGGCTTAACAACTGCTTTTCACTTGAATATCTGAGTGCCTCCTATTCAGAGAATATAACTAGTTTCAGGATCTACACCGAAACGTCGCACTAATTGTAATAAAGAAATTGTTCATGATCATCCATAGAACTCGTCTTACTTCATCACACTAACTTCTAAATGTCACCGAAAGAAGTAATATAAGATTTGTTTTAAAAACAGACACTGTAAAGACACTGTAATGTTCTAAATTTTGTTTTGCAAAAAACCCCAGCAAATTTCGCATCTTTTAATCGTACATCGATAAAAGAACTGCGTGACGAATTAATTTTGTTTGAAAGCTGTATATAATTCATGTAAGTACTGACTAATGAATGAACCACATAAGACATTACTAAATAAATTTATCTTTTATTTAAAGCGTTACATATTCTACACGAATTTTTTTAATTATGTACTTCAGTGTGAAAGACTCAATTTTCTGAAGTTGAGAAAAACGATATTTTCACTGCAGAGAACATAACACTTGATATTTCACTGCAGTGAACATAACACTGACGGGACTATTTTCATACAAGAATTACCTCCCCTTGCATCGTCTCCCTTCATCGTAAGTGTTAGAGATTCGAACATACGCTGGCAACTTGATGACGTAAATTGAACGATGCTAATTTTTAGGGTTGCAACGACACACCTAGGTCACAATACGATACGTATCTCGATACTTACATCACAATTCGATACGTATCTCGAAACGCTACGATACACATAGAGACAAGAGAAGACAGTAGATAAATGAATTAAACTTAGTTTATTAAAATGAAAAATTAAATGAAAGTGAATGAATATTCGTGAGTCATAAAACATATACAGTAATCAGTATTTTAACTATAGAATCATCTGCCATTTCCATCACATGGCTATCAAACACAAAAGTAACAGTCCTACATGAACTAAATAAGTACCAGTAACTTGCTATTTACTCAGTAGATCCCCGGTGGCTTCTCTACCAAAGGACAAGCGTCTGCTTTTCCCGACATGTTTGTGTTAGAGACCGCTCAGCCAATCAGAAAGCTTGAACTGCTACTGATATACAAAGCTTGCATAGCCGCTGTATTTCGAAGACGTACGTGTGTGTTTCGAAAACTATATTGTCCCCACGTTTTTATGACTCGTTCGAATTTGAAATTCATTTAAAATACATTTAAAATGTATCTGTGATAAAAGTTTATTAAAAACAACGTATCGTGAAAAATCTAGATACAGCAACTCACAAAGCGCGCACCGTATCGTATGGAGCGAATCGCGATGCATCGGTGTCCGGGATATCGTTTCAGCCCTAGCTTATACTAGTGTCGACATTTCCTGTCGGTTGTGGGGGCACGGGTGGCCCAGTCGTCTAAGGCGCTGCGATTCGCTGTGCAGAGTTGCGTCCCTTGTGCACGCCAGAAACCTATGATTGTGGGTTCGAATCCCGGTTCGCCCCGATCATTTTTCTAGGTTTGTCAGCACCATACCCGTAGTCGTGGGTTTCACCGAAGTGGTAAACGTCTGAGACCTGCATCACTTCGGGCTTTCCTCCCACATTAAGCTGACACGCCGCGATATAACTGGAATAATGTTAAAGCGGCGTTAAACCCAACTCACTCACTCCTGTCGGTTGTGTGGTGCCCACTGATGTTCCATGCCGCTGTTTAGGATGAGATGTCCCACTGAGATAGATAACACAGTCTCCTCGCCGACAAGTCCTTGTTTCATCCCCTCAATGCCGAGCAACCGAGTCAGGGTATCAGCAAGCTCCGTCTTTTAACGTCTTTTGGTATGACGCGGACAAGGGATCGGACCACTCACGGAGATTACAGTGCTAGTAATTGCACACGTCGACACGGTGTCTGATTTTGACAATTACACAGAAAGAATATAATTACCTTTTTTAAACATTATCAATTTTTCGTTTCTTACTGTTAATAATAACTGGTCGTTAGCAACATAATAATACCATTTAAGAAATACTGTATTTCCATAAATATTTTGGTATAACATTTAGTAAAACCTGATCCTGAGATAAGCGAGGTTTCCTAAGCAAGAACAAGTTAGTTAATTGGGCATATGAATGACATCACATAGCTTTAAACTAATTCCATATAATTAAATTGTCGTTGTGTTTATTGAAATTCCTGCATTCTGATTAGCTGAATTGGTCAGGTGGTATTGCATTCATTTCCCAATGAATGTAAAAAAATAAGCCACGCCCACCGAGGCGCAGATTCATACAGTTTGCACATCGGTTTTTCGATTCATACCTCAATGAACCGAAAAAATACACATAGAATGCTTAAATGAATTAATTTTAATTCATACTAAACTTATGCTTATTTATGTTTCTATATGTGTCTGAGGTTTGTGGAATAGATTGTGTAAGAGCCATTCACATATTTGCAAGTAAACGCTTCCTTGGAGTGACGATCACCAAATTACAAAGTATTTGGTAAAGAAACAGATACCCTTTTGCATGTTTGTGCATTTAGACGTTCTATAAAATTTTAGATTAGATGATTGCATATGTCAAATATATGTCATAATATGCTCTTTCAAACAGTAAGTAATGGCAAAAGTAATTAGGTTTCAAATTTGAAATGGTTTTTGTTTCGACTTGGTTTTGGCTGTGAATCGCAAACAATAAGTAGTGAAGAATCCTTTATCAGGAAATTAATGGCAAGATTAACACTTTTGTTTGAACTCACGCCCTTCTTTTTAACAATTCTAAAACTAGAAAAGATACTTTCGTTAAACATGTTACAATCGCAAAATTTCGTTGCAGTACCCATGGTCTCAAACTAGAAACTGGCAAGTGCTCTCTTTCTAATGAAGACTGACCCGACGATGAATACCATTCTTTGTTGGTTTGACTTATAAAACATTGCGGGAGTGTACACACATGTACCCTCTAATCTATGTCATACCCTACACGTAACAAAATCAATATCATTTTGGCATATTGGCAGCTAGCTGTATATTTATTTCATATAGCATTCTGATTGGTTGAGGAGGTCATGTACCCGCTGGGAAATGAGTCGGAACTAAACTAAGAAAACTTGCTTTCCTCGCATAAGCTGAAATGAAACGATGTTTATTCAAATGCATTGGGATATCAAATATCCAATGGCAGTAAATAATATGAAGGCAGTGGACAGTATCAAATACAAAAATACAGTTGTGATAGCTAAAGTCGGTGATAATAATATATATTCACCCAGCGGCGACAGTGGTCAAGCTTCCGAGTTGGACTAGGCAGGGAATCAAGAATGGTGATCGATACTCACATGAAAGCTGGTTCCAAAGCGATGAAATGCGTGTGAGTTGATACGTGTGAAAGATGCGTAAACACGCTCTTGTCTCCTTATATACAACCCACCTAACTACTTCAAATTTCTTGAACTTTCAAGACAATGTTGTAAGGCTCTCTACAATGCCGGAAGAGTCTTGCCGTTTCCGGAAGTTACCTGCTACTTATAATAAGCATCGAAATATAGTAACTTGACGACTGTTTACCTAAATAAGTATTACATTCCTGACGACTAATCACTACCCAAATGCAATGGAATGAGCGTCTACCGAATCTCAACAGAAACAATATAACACAGTTAGCAATCGATACAGTAAGTTCATCAATTATATATTTAAGAACCTTTTAAATATGTTTTGAATGTAAATCATGTTATATTCTTTTGTATATTAAGTATGTTAGAATTCTAGTGTAATGTAAAATTCAGAAACCACGTGTTAATTGTATTATGCATACGTAAAATATCCATGTAGGTTCTTCTGGATGTCTACTGTTTGGGGATGCTTCATGATTTCTCGACGCTTCTTTCAGTATCTATTCTATGCTGGGGTGTTTTTGATTTATGTGAGTCAGTGAGTGAGTTGGTTTTTAACGCCGCTTTTAACAGTATTCCAGTTATATCACGGCGTGTCAGCTTAATGTGGGAGGAAAGCCCGAAGTGATGCAGGTCTCAGACATTTACCACTTCGGTGAAACCCACGAGCACGGGTATGGTGGTGACAAACCTAGAAAAATGATCGGGGCGAACCCACAATCATTGGTTTCTGGCGTGCCCAAGGGACGCAACTCTGCACAGCGAATCGCGGCACCTTAGACGACTGAGCCACCCGTGCCCCCTTGATTTATGTACATACGATCACCTCACATGACAATGAACTCAATGAAAAACTTCCGTCTTTGATCCATTGGACATTTGTCACTAAACATAGTGATCATAGATATAGTTACATATCTATATTTAGAGGTTCAGACAATTTGTCAAAAATGAAAGCAAATGCCATCTGAAGTTTCACTGAGAAAACAAATTTCCCTGCAAGTTGAAACAAGGTAATTTTGCCAAGAAATGTAACTTAAGCTTCAGTGGACACACGTGTTTCCTTACAGTTTTTTACGACACCTCTTACTGCTGATGTTCACTCCGTGTTGTGAGAGGACATACTTTGCCATGTCCAAATGTCTACCACGACAGGCCACACGAATGGTGCTATTAACACCTTTCCGTGGAACATCACCTCCTGCACCAGCAAGTAAGTCAAACACTTTTCTATGCCCGTAGTATGCCGCTTTCATTACACATGTCATCCTCTGTCCTCCTCTACTGTTGATGTCCACGATGTCTTTTGAGAGGACATACTTTACGATTTCAATGTGTCCTCCTTCACAGGCCGCATGAAGGATATTGTCACCTGTATCATCTACTGAGGAAACATCACCTCCTTTACCCACAAGTAAGTCAAACACTTCTTTATGCCCGTAGTATGCCGCTTCCAATACAGGTGGCATCCCGTATCTTCCTCTACAGTTGATGTCCACGATGTCTTTTGAGAGGACATGCTTTACCATTTCAACGTGTCCTCCTTTACAGGCCACATGAAGGATAGTGTCACCTTTATCATCTACTGAGGAAACATCACCTCCTTTACTCACAAGAAAGTCAAACACTTCTATATTTCCGTAGTATGCCGCCATCAGTACAGGTGTCCTCTGGTGCTTTCCTCCCCTGTTGATGTCCGCGATGTTTTGTGAGAGAACATACTTCACCGTTGTAATATCTCCTCCTTGAGAGGCCATGTGAAGAATGGTGTTACCGTAACTGTCAACTAGTGACAAATTACCCCCCTTACGGACCAGCAAGTCAAACACTTCTCTATGTCCCTCAGCTGCTTTTAGCAATGGGGTCCGTCCTCAGTATCCTTCACTGTTGACGTCCACGATGCCCTGTGATAGGATATACTCCACTGTCGCAATATCTCCTCCGTCACAGGCCAGGTGGAGAATATTGTTATTGTTAGTGTCAGCTAGTGACAAATCACATCTTTTACTCACAAGAAGGTCAGCCACATCCACATGTCCTTTATATGCTGCCTCCATCACTGGTGTCCTATTGTACTTTCCCTCTCTACCGTTTATGTCTACCTTTCCTTCGGACAAAATGTTCTTCACCTGGCACATGTCCCCCTCCATGCAGGCATCATGAAATACCTTGTCCACTTGCTTTACATTCTTGGTAGGTTTCTTTAGTGGACATCTCTCAGGATAATACTGCTTCCCACCTATAGATATGTTAGCTCTTATTAGCAATAGCATACCAAGGTAAGATAACATGTTAACATTACACGTTTTGTTTGTATGATTACCAACAACTCAGTTCATATCCTTAGGCGTGAGGTGCGTGAGTGAGTTAAAATTTAACGTCACATCAGCAATATTTCAGGCATATCGTCCTCGTTCTTTGGACATGCTGGGTGTTCCCAGCTATATGAGGGTTTCCTGAATGTAATCGAATCTGGACCAGACAATTCTTGCGATGTATATTTTGAAATTCGCCATTATCTCTAAAAGAGGGTAGCTGCTCTGTCACCCTTGTAATATGCCAGTTCACATTCATCACATTCAACGAGGTAAAGAAAAAAACAATTATACTGATTACCTTTTATGCAAACATCCTTTCCGGATCGAGTCCTCAAACATTCTGAACCTTGATCGCAAGACGTAGATACACAGACCTCAGTCAAGACCTGCAAACAGAAGTAGCTGAGATATGTTTTATCTTGCTTTTGTATACTTGAGTCCAAAACATCAGGCAGAAACCCTTCTCCATGCCTTTGTGAATGTAAGGTCATTGCCTATTCCTGATGCCATTAACACTGAGGAGGAGCATGTTTTAGGAGCTACATCAGCACTTGCCTTTTATTTCGAAAGGTTTTTAGTGTCTACATTTGGTGAATTGATATTGTTGCGAATATCAATTTTCCAAGATACATTGAGCCATTTGGGAGACAAATTATCATAACAGTAAAGTGAAGAAAACACATGCTCCATAATCAGTATCCAACACAAATCAATTTGAGGGCGTTGGCTAAAGATATCGGTGCAGCGTGAGAAACGTTTTCATTTGTTGAAAGCGTCTATGTACTATATAATCTATCTTGTTATGCTTAACAACTATGCAACAATTTACCTTTAACTGATCTGATATGTTTAATTGAATGAAATATGTTTCGTTTTTATTGGAATCATTTACAATTAATCAGAATGCTTCAAGACAGTCCTCATTGAACAAAAATGACCACATCTTCTCAGACCCTAAAGTGAGCATACTCAACTCAAGGTGAGGTGAAATGGGGTTTAACGTCGCGTCCAAGATTATTGCACTTATATAGCGACGTGCATGCACGTGTGTGTGTGTGTGTGTGGCTGCTTCTACTAGTCCGGACTGATTCCGATTTATAGTGCTAGCACACTGAGATACCATGCCGCAGTTTAACATGAATACCCCATCCAGACACAGTATACTGACTCCGAGCCGACCAGTCCTTGTTTTAGCCCCTTAATGCCGAGCGCCAGACAGGGTAAGTACAAGTACCATCTTTAAACGTCTTTTGGTATGACGCGGCTGGGGATCGATCCCCGGACCTTCCGCTCTCCGGGCGGACGCTCAACCATTAGACCACGGAGGCGGTCGACGCAACTCAAATATCAGTCATAAGAAAACCTAAAGGTGTGCCTATTTCTATTAATCCAACAAAAACACAACAACAGTGCATAATTGTTAAGTGTGTGAAACGACGTTGGATTCTGACATTGGGAATAATTACAATCACAAGTGATGTTTGTAACTAGCTATGTATGGCTAACATGACGCTTGGGTACCATAAAACACCCGCTAGCCTTGGAGATTAGAGATTGCATCTTCTAAGTTGTGTAAACAGTAATCCAATGGATGAGCAGAACGAAAAGTCCTGCTTTGCAAATAAAAGACCAGAGGTGGAAACGGGAAGGCTGGGCACTTGCCCAATTGTTCAAACGGCAGAGCATGTATAACAACGGGAGCTGTTTAACCACAATAGCCGTGTTGTTTCGTTTCTGTTATGATTTAGCCATGATTTATTATCCCCTGTTTTCCACTCAAAATCTGCCACTCATGATCTTGATGATTATGTCATAAATTATTGTCCCCGGGAACCCGAGAGTACTTTTGTGAGGAGCAATACTACTCATTTCCCTGATACTCCTATGGCCTTACTCCTATGGCCTTACTCCTATGGCCTTATGATTTGAGTGTAAACAAAGCTGATGATTTAGTCCATATCTTCAGGCCTTGCATGTGTCTGCATGTGTCAAAGTTTTGTAATCCTTGCGATTCATGTCAGGTGAGAAGAAAATCTGATCAGAAAATTCCTCTTGCCCCTTTGAAGCACCAGAAGGTTCTGCCATTGGAAGTTACAGCAGTCAGGTGGAATGATAAACGTCAAGAGCAGGTTTCCAAAGTCACCTAAACACAGCAGTACCATCTTGTAATAGTCACAGAGGAGCACATGACTGCTTTACACGACTACCATCATCAGAAACAGCCTCTATGGTGAGGATGAATACAAGCAAGGCTACAATGCCGACTATGGAAGATGGAAGTCTCCTTAAGTAATTTTGATCATGTTGAACTGTTTAATTGTTTTTTTTGGTGTTTTTTTCAGAAACCAATGTTGAAGGGAATTATTTCTGTTTTCCAATTCGCTTCATTTCAACTCTCTCTCTCTCCTCCCTTTCTTTCTCTCACTGAAATTGGTTCTCTCTCTCTCTCTCTCTCTCTCTGAAATTCTAATTCTTTCAGTCTTATTCTTCTCTCCTCTTTCTCTGTCAGATTTTCTCTCTCCTACTTTTCTTTTTGAACTTCTAAATCTTTTAGTTTTAGGTTTCTCTGAAATATTCAATTTCCAGCTTCTACAAGCAACTGTTTATAAGCGAGCGATAGTAAGAACTGATTTCTGAAAATATTGTAATCACATGGACTTTTTAAAATATATTTTATATGTTTGCATTTATCCTCATTCAGTAATATTCAGTAATAACGCCGAGATAAATGAACACATCTTCATTAATTTACTTACGTTTGGCTGATTCTTAAGAAGAAAAATAGACCATGGTTTCTCCGTAGTTTTTTTTTATTCACCAGTTGGAAGACGGCAGGTTAAAGTTTCAAAATTGTATTCAAAACTCAAACAACCACCTTTTTCAACACATTTTACTTGACACATTTTGATGCCAATGTTCCTGATAGTGATATCTCTGTCTTCCAAATGGCCGCGTTGTTTAGTGATGCACGTGGAAAGTACAATCATGAGGTAAAATGAGCAGGTTTCCAAAGAAACCCAAACACAGCAGTATCATCTTAGCACAGGACTGCGTTACACAACTACCAGAAACTGGTCATCAGAAACTGCCTCTAATGTAAGGATCTATACAGTCAAACACACTTATGATCCCGTTGCGGTAGTTATGGTAACGTCATGTGACATCTCACGTGTTCTGGTGAGAGATCATATGACGCCTGAAGTACGGAAATGGCAAAATGTGAGTGAGTGAGTGTGTTGGGTTTAAGGCCTCTTTTAACAGTAGGCAAAATGTAGGATCAAAGACACTTAGAGTCTTATCAAATAACATTTAATGGACAGAAGCAGTCCAACTTCCACAAGGAGAAACACATGTTGTGTTAGCTGTTAGCTAAGCACTCACATAATGATATATATAAACTAAAGGGCAGGAAAAGTGTGAATTACAATTTAAAACTTAAATTGGAACAATATTTGTAATAAAATATTCAGTACAACACAGGATGTCAAACTGCGATGGTTTCAATACACAGTTACCCACAGAACTCTCACCACTAAAACTTTTCTGTATATACTCAATTATGTTCAAAGTGATTTGTGCTCCTTCTGTCACAATGAAAAAGAAATAATTATAATATGAAAGTTTGTGCAGAATTGATACTTTTTTGGAGTTAAAGAGAACATAATTGTTTGATTTCTTTTACTAATTGCAAAATTCTATATTTATAGATGCAAATTCCAAAATACAAAACCTTATTTTCATGTTTGTAAAAGGGAAGCTTTTTCACGATACAAAATTGAAAAAGATATTGCTTTCAAGACAGGTAATCAACAGAAATTCTATGGTGCTTTTATTTTTCGCAAATGAAGAGCAGCTTTCAATTTGATTTTAATTTTGTACTTAAGACTTTTTGACACTTTGTACTTTCCTACACTCCTATGATCATATACACTTTAATAGTTTATGTATACTTGATAAATGCAGTATGTTTGTATTACTAGAGTGAATGTGTGAGTGAAAAGTATGTTATCTTTTGTAAATAACAAAAACTAAGAAGTACTGATGTGCTATATGTCATGGGCTTTCTGCTACCCTGGGTGGAAACACATTTTATATAAAATGTACTTCTTTTGAATAAATGAAAATACATACATATAGATATAACTGATCATCTGACCCTGAACAAAGGATCTCAATTTTGAATACATAATTACATCGTCTGAGTTTACTGTACCACTCGTTTTGTTTGTTTGTTTGTTTGTTGTTTAACGCAGCACTCAGCAATATTCAAGCTATATGACGCCGGTCTGTAAATAATCGAGTCTGGACCGAACAATCCAAGGATTATCATCATGAGTATCGATCTTCGCAATTGGAATACAATGACATGCATCAACCAAATCACCCGATCCCATTAGTCGCCTCCTACGACAAGCATAGTCGCCTTTTACGACAAGAATGCGTTGCTGAAGACCTATCGACCTCCTGTGTAGAATGAGAGGTGGAAAAGTTCAAGTAACAAAACCATTACCATACTAATAAGAAATCATTTGCACGATTCTTATTATATGATTAGCATGTGTTCATGAATCCCTTTCAAATAGTGTTTTGTAACATGGCAGCGTGGTATATTATTGGACAACGTTGTAACTGAATTTTACATTGTATCTGCTGAGATTCAGTAGAAGTTCATGGTTGTGTGTCTTGACAATATTTAGTTGTCAGGAATGTAACCAGTGGTAAAGAAGTTACCATATTAAAGTGCTAGTGAGATGTGGAAACTTCCGGGACTGCATGGACTGATATGGTGTGTAGTGGAATCTACCTCATGGGACCCGAAAAGATTCCGGGTTAGAATAGGTCTTCAGCAACCCATACTTGCCGTAAAAGGCGACTATGCTTGTCGTAAAAGGCGACTAACGGGATCGGGTGGTCAGGTTCG